CTTATGCCTCCAGCCTTTGCTCAGAGCCTCAGCTACCAGGAAGCTGTGCTCCGGGCTGTGGACAGCTTCAACCAGAGGTCACTGGATACCAATGCCTACCGCCTTCTGGCCCTGGACTCCCAGCCCCAAGGGGTGAGCGGCTCATGCCAACCTTAGCCATACCTGGCCACAGTGTGCGCCTGCCCAGATCGTCTTTCCTTCCTTTCTTCCTTTGTCTTCCTTCTTTCTTCCTTTTGCCAGTCCTGGGGCTTGAACTCAGGGCCTGGGCACTGTCTCTGAGCTGCTTTTGCTTTTGCTCAAGGAGAGTGCTCTACCACTTGAGCCACAGCACCACTTCCGGTTTTCTGGTGGTTTATTGGAGATAAGAGTCTCATGGAGAGCTGGGAAGGTGGCTCAGTGGTAGAGCGTTTGCCTTGCATGCATGAGGCCCTGGGTTCAATTCCTCAGCACCACAGAAGCAGAAAAAGCTAGAAGTGGCGCTGTGGCTCAAGTGGTAGAGCACTAGCCTTGAGCTGAAGAACTGAGGGACAGCGCCCAGGCCCAGAGTTCAGGCCCCACGACCAGCAAAAAAAAAAAAAAAAAGAGTCTCATGCACTTTTCTGCCTGGGCTGGCTTTGAACCACGATCCTCAGATCTCAGCCTCCTGAGTAGCTAGGATGACAGGTGTGTTACCAGCACCCAGCTGCTGCTGCTTTCCTCCTCCTCCTCCTCTTCTTTTTCTTCTTCCCCCTCCTTCTTTTCTCTTACCTCCTCCTCCTCCTTTTTTGGAGGGTGTCTTCCAGACAGTCTTCCTAGGAGCTGGGTCCCCTCCTTGACAGCTTTCAGCCTTAGACTCTACACACACACACACATACACACAAAGTGGCAGAGTGCACACACAGGGTGTAAGGATGGTGGGACCTCCAGGAACAAGTTTGGGGATCAGTGCTGTGGGCACAAGACTTACTTTGCTCTGACCCTATACCCCAGTATGCCTTTATAAGGGAAGGGCTCTTCCCGGCCTTGAAGTTTCATTGGTGTGTCTTGTCTTTTCCCCCAGGAAGCCCCTAATCTCTCTGTCCCCCTTTTCCAGAGGGGGAGGTGATCCTCATTAGAGGGCGGAGAGGGGGTTCTTTTTCCTCCTCTCTGTGCCCCAGCACTAGGCCCAATACCTGGCACATAGATGTCGAAAGGCTGTGTGTGTGTGTGTGTGTGTGTGTGTGTGTGTGTGTGTGCGTGCGTCCGCACGCGCGCGCGCCAATTCTGGGCTTGAACTCAGAACCTAGGTGCTGTCCTGAAGCCTCTTCTTGCTCAAGGTTAGCGGTCTACCACTTGATCCACAGCGCCTGTCATCCTAGCTACTCAGGAGGCTGAGATCTGAAGATCGTAGTTCAAAGCCAGTCCAGGCAGGAAAATCCATGACTCCTATCTCCAATGAACCACCAGAAAACCGGAAGTGGCGCTGTGGCTCAAGTGGTAGAGCGCTCGCCGTGAGCTGAAGAGCTGAGGGACAGCGTCCAGGCCCAGAGTTCAAGCCCCACGACCACCACTACCACCACCAAAAAGAATCTCATAGACTTTGCTGCCCTGCCTGGCTTCAAACTGCTGGTCCTCAAATCTCAGCCTCCTGAGTAGCTAGGATGACAGGGGCGAGCCGCCAGGCCAAAAGGCTGTTTTCTTGTTGAGATCAGAGAAACTGATCACAGAAAAGTTAGAAGGGACCTGAACTGGGGCTCCCCATTCATTCCCCTTGATCAGGAGGAAGACCCAGACAGCCCAAAGCCTGTGAGCTTTACCATGAAGGAGACAGTGTGTCCCAAGGGATCAAGGCAGGCCCTGGAGCAGTGTGACTTCAAGGAGAATGGGGTAAGGCTGGAGAGGGCTTTGGGGAGGGAGTGGAAGGGGGGACATTTCCATCTACTGGGGTGTGGTATGTGGGGGGGGGGGGGGAAGAGTTATATCAAGGGAATTCCACTGACCATGAAAGTTCCCTTTCCAGCTGGTGAGGCGGTGTGTGGGGACTGTCACTATGGACCAGGGCAGTGACTCTGACCTCGACTGTAATTTGATGGTGAGCAGGGGTCCAGACGCAGGGGGTGGGGCATAGATCATCTTATGGACCAATCAGGTCCTTCCCAACCCAAGACTGAGAAAGAGAGAGGGGAGAGGAGAGGGGAGAAGAGGGGAGAAGGGAGGGGAAGTGGGGGGAAGAGGGGAGGGAAGAGGGGAGCCTTCCCCACACCTGAGCTCCCCCTCCCTCAGTCTGAACTCTATCTGCAGTGCTGAGTCTAATAAAAGCGGTGGCTCTCCAAGTTTGGCCTTAACTTGGAACTTGTAAGATACATAGACTCTCTTGAGTCCACAGACTTACTGATTAACACTGGGACCTAGCAAGGTTTGCTTTTTGTTGTTGTTGTTGTTTGTTTTGGCTGGTCCTGAGGGTATTTATATATATATATATATGTAAATATATATATATATATTTATTTATTTATTTATTTATTGTGATCAAGGCTAGCACTCTACCACTTTGAGCTACAGCACCACTTCCAGTTTTCTGGTGGTCCATTGGAGGTAAAGTTTCACAGATTTTCCTGCCTGGGCTGGCTTCGAACCATGTTCCTCAAATCTCAGCCTCCTGAGTAGCTGGGATTATAGGCATGAGCTCCTGGTGCATGGCATACAGTGTGTATTTTAATAAACCTTTTTGGAGATTCTGACTTCTGCTGAAGGCTGAGAGCACTGACTTTTTTTTGTTGGTCGTGGGGCTTAAACTCTGGGCCTGGGTGCTGTCCCTCAGCTCTTCAGCTCAAGGTGAGTGCTCTACCACTTGAGCCACAGCACCACTTCTGGTTCTCTGAGTGGTTTAATGGAGATGAGAGTCTCACAGACTTTCCTGCTCAGGCTGGCTTTGAACTGAGATTGTCAGATCTCAACCTCCTGAGTAGCTAGGATGACAGGTGTGAGCCACCCGCACCCAGCATTAAATGCTTTTTTTGGTCAGTCGTGGGGCTTGAACTCTGGGCCTGGGTGTTCTCCCTGAGCTCTTCAGCTCAAGGTGAGCACTCTACCACTTGAGCCACAGCGTTCGGGACAGCACTGACTTAAGAGTAGCCAAGAGGCTGGGAATGTAGTTTAGTTGTACAGTGTTTGCTTAGCATGGATGAAGTCCTGGGTTCGATTCCTCAGTACCACATACACAGAAAAAGCCACGAGGGGCGCCATGATTCAAGCGGTAGGGCATCTGGCCTTGAGCGAAACAAGCTCAGGGACAGTGCCCAGGCCCTGAGTTCAAGCCCCAGGACTGGCAAAAAAAAAAAAAAAATCAGTGAGTTCTCAGGAAGCTAGGGAACTCCTTGCCCATTATAGGCCTCAGTTTTAGCATTTTTAAATTGAGAATATAGCTTTAACCATGCACCCCAGCCAGGGGTTGACCTGGGGTGTCACACCTCCTAGTGTAACTAGAAGAAGAGGTTTAGCTGGGGAGAGATCTTGAATTGATCCTGAATCTAGCCCTACCAAGTGCCTATTTCTTCCTGGTATACAGCCTCAACCTGTCCACAAAATCTCCCAGCTGGGTAAATTTCTCCGAGAAGGTGGGAAGAAGATTGGTAAAAAGCTTGAGAAACTTGGCCAGAAAATCAAGGATTTTTTTCACAAGTTCGCACCCAAGGGAGAGCCTCCAGAGCCTTAGGGTATACGCAGCCTCGACTCTGAAAAATAAATATTGTGAAAGTAATGGCTCCAGATCTCTGTCTCGCTTATCTTTTTTTTTGTTGTTGGTTGTGGGGCTTGAACTCTGGTAGGCCTGGGTGTTGTCCCTGCGCTCTTCAGCTCAAGGTGAGCACTCTACCACTTGAGCCACAGCACCACATCTGGGTTTCTAGTGGTTTACTGGAGAGCAGAGTCTCACGGACTTTTCTGCCCGGGCTGACTTGGAACCATGATCCTCAGATCTCAGCCTCCTGAGTAGCTAGGATGACAAGCGTGAGCCACAGGTGCCCGACTGTCTCGTTCATCTTTGCCTCCCTTCTTTCTCACGGCGATGGAATCTTTACTTTTTTGTCAGTCATGGGGCTTGACCTCAGGGCCTGGGGTGCTGTCCCCGAGCTTTGTTGCTAAAAGCAAGCTCTCTACCACTTGATCAACAGTTCCACTTCCAGTTTCTTTGGTGATTAATTGGAGATGAGTCTCACACACTTGCCTGCTGGATCTGGCTTTGAACCACGATCTGTAGATCTCAGCCTAAGTAGCTAGGATTATAGAAGTATGCATAGCTATATATATATATATTTTTTTTTTGGTTGGTTGTGGGGCTTGAACTCTGGGGCCTGGCCGCTCTCCCTGAGCTCTTCAGTTCAAGGCTACAGTTTTAGCACTTGAGCCACAGCAACACTTCAGGCTTTTTCTGTGTATGTGGTGCTGAGGAACTGAATCCAGGGCTTCAGCATGCTAGCAAGCGCTCTACCACTGAGCCACCTTCCCAACCCTCCCCCGACCTTTCTGTTTTCTGCCATGAGTTGAACCACCAGAAAATCTTCACAGGGAGCCAAACAAACAGATATTGCTACTATGCTCTTAAATCTTCCTGATTTTAAGAAATATGAACCAAAGCCAGGCACTGGTGGGATCTGGGGATTGCGATTTGAAGCCAGCCTGGGCAGAAAAGTCCTGCAGAGACTCTTGTCCAATTAACTATTCAAAAACTGGAAGTGGCGCTGTGGCTCAAGTGGTAGAGCGCTAGCCTTGAGCAAAAGAAGCTCAGGGACGGTGCCAGGCCCTGAGTTCAAACTCCAGGACTGACAAAAAAAGAAAAAATACTTTAAACTTGGAGGATTCATTAGGACACTTGAGTTTATTAGGAAAACAGGCCAAAATACAACTCATAGAAATACAGCCTTGTCGGGCTGGGAAGTTGGCTCAGTGGTAGAGCGCTTGTCTTGCATGCCAGAGGCCTTGGGTTCGATTCCTCAGCACCACATAAGCAAAAATAAAAAAAAAAAAAAAAAAAGAAATACAGCCTTGTCTAGGCAAGACCATGAAGCAAGCTCCTTTTTGAGAAAGGAGGGATAGTTCTCAGCAAAAGGAAGAATCACCATCCTTCTTCACTCCCCAGGAACATTCTAGAGAAGAGGTAGACCGCGAGAGGCTAAAGAGTAGGCAGTGATGAGCTAGACCCTCTGGTAGATTAGTAGCGCCCAGCATGGATGGCGCCATGATCTTGGCTTTTCTAGTCTTGGAAGAATGGTTTGGACTCGGAGGGCTGTGTGAAAAGGCTTTTTAGAGCGCGACAAGTCTCAGGCTGGTCCTAGGAATCCTGCATCAGTGGTACAGGGCCTACCTCCCTCTGCACTAGAGCGCAGCCGCGGCTCCTCCTCCTCATACCAACGTGCTTCGCTGAACTCTGGGAAGAAGGCCGCGATCTCTCTGCTGGCTGAAACTGCAGAGTCTGGGTATGGGGAGGTAAGACAGAGAAAGAGATTGGGAGGCTGAGGTAGAAAGATCCTGTGTTTGAGGCTAGCCTGGCCAATATGGCTAGAGACGGTCTCAGATAGATAGATACATACATACAGAGACAAATTAAAAATAAACCCGGGTGCTGGTGTCATCCTAGCTACTCAGGAGGCTGAGATCTGAGGATCACAGTTCAAAGCCAGCCCCAGGCAGGAAAGTCCTTGAGACTCTGATCTCCAATGAACCACCAGAAAACCGGAAGTGGCGCTGTGGCTCAAGCGGTAGAGCGCTCACCTTGAGCTGAAGAGCTCAGGGCTAAAGCCCAGGCCCAGAGTTCAAGCCCCATGACTGACAAAAAAAAAAAAAAAAAAAGATTTAAAGTTGGTCCTGGGTAGAAATGTGAGAACTTATCTGAAAAATAACCTAAAGCAAAAAGTGCTAGGGGGGGTGTGGTGGTTTGAGAAAGTGCTTAGAAAGTACAAGAAGAAGAAAGGGAATACGAGAAGAGAAGGAAAAAGAAGAAAGGAAAGGAGAAGGAAAAGAAGGGACCTCTGGGCCCTATCAGTTGAGATGGCTACCAAGTACCATTATCATACATAGGAAGAAAGCTCATTGGAGGACTCTAGCTGTCAATCTTGCTATAGAGCCCACCCATCCACCTTAAGACATCCATCCTTATCCTTGGCTGTGGTCAAATTGAGGTAGACTCACCTGAGCCGTGGGTGGTGTTGCGGGTATCGGTGAGGCCAAAACTCCCACGGATAGAATCTGGGGCTGTATAGCGTGCTCGAAACACTCTGGTGGGTCCCATCAGTGTTCTCCAGAGCTGGATGGCATCTTTGTGGGCGAGGATGTAGGCTCGGATTGGCCCACTGTGAATAAAACTACACATGAGGAATGTGGCCACCCAGTCGTGGGTACCAAGCTGTGGGCCCTAGGCATCTAAGAGAGATTTGTTTTTTGTTTCCTTTCTGGAGGATACAGTACGGCTTCAAAACAAAAGTGATAGATGGGAGGGTCTGGGAGGGTGGCTCGGTGGTAGAGTGCTTGCTGAGCATGCATGAGGCCCTGAGTTCGATTCCTTAGTACCACATACACAGAAAAAGCCAGAAGTGGCGCTGTGGCTCAAGTGGTAGAGCGCTAGCCTTGAGCAAAAGCAGCTCAGGGACAGCGCCCAGGCCCTGAGTTCAAGCCCCAGGACTGGCAAACAACAACAACAAAAGTGATGGATGGAATTGCTAACTTTAAGCAAAAGAAGCTCAGTGACAGAGACCAGGCCCCAAGTTCAAGCCCAGGACCGGCAAAACAAAACAAAACAATTCCAAGCCAGGTGCTGGTGGTTCACGCCTGTCATCCGAGCTACTCAGGAGGTTGAGATCTGAGGATCATGGTTTGAAGCCAGCCAGGGCAGGAAAGTATGAGACTCTTATCTCTCACTACTCTGAAAAAGCAGGACGTGAGGCTGTGGCTCCAGTGGTAGATCACTAGCCTTGAGCAAAAGAAGCTGAGGGCCAGAGCCTAGACCCGAGATTCAAGCTCCAGGACTGGAAAGAGATTTTTTATTTAAATTAATTAACTTATGGAGCCAAGGTGATCATCCACTTTGAAATGGATAAAGATGTTGGGACCAAAATTACCAGTACCTGGCCATGAACTCTACCAGCCGCTGATAGAAAAACCGCCCTGCAAAGAGAGAATATATTTATCAAGATACTGCTGGGGGTAGGAGTGGGGGGGATAGGGAAGGGGGAAGCGGGGGGGGGGGGGGGGGGGGGGGAGGGGAGAGGGAGGGAGAGGAGGATGGAGGGAAGATGGGAAGGGGAAACAAAGGAGGAGGAGGCAACAATGCTTGATAAGAAATGTACTCATTGGGCTGGGAAGGTGGCTCAGTGGTAGAGCACTTGCCTTGCATGCATGAGGCCCTGGGTTCGATTCCTCAGCACCACATAAGCAAAAAGAAAAAAGCCGGAAGTGGCGCTGTGGCTCAAGTGGTAGAGCGCTAGCCTTGAGCTGAAGAGCTGAGGAACAGCGCCCAGGCCCAGAGTTCAGGCCCCACAACCGGAAAAAAAAAAAATTAAAAAAAAGAAAAAGAAATGTACTCATTACCTTGCCCATGTAATTGTAACCCTTTTAAGGTATTTTCACAATTAAAAAAAAAAAAAAAGATACTGCTGCCCAGGAGAAAACTTTTTATACTTCTATCTCTTTAATTCCTAAAATGTCTCCTTATCTCTAAAAAAATAGTAAGCTGGGCACTGGTGGCTCACACCTGTAATCTTAACTACTCAGGAGGCTGAGATCTCAGAATAGTGGTTCAAAGCCAGCCCGGGCAGGAAAGGCCCAGAGATTCATCTCCAATAAACCACCAGAAAACTAGAAGTGGTGTTATGGCTCAAGTGGTAAAGTGCTCACCTTGATCTGAAGAGTTGAGGGACAGCGCCCAGGCCCAGCGTTCAAACCCCACCACGGACCCCCCCCCAAAAAAGAAAAAAAGCAAATAGTGCTTTAGAGAAAAACAAACAAACAAACAAAAAACCCAAGGACTTTGAAGCCTCACATTTCTCAGTCTGAATCCAGTCTCTGTTACTTACAACCCATGTAGTTTTGGATAAATCCTAAACTTTTTAATTCGGTTTCTAAATCTGTGTACTGAGGATGTAACAATACCTACTTTTATTTCTGTTGCTTGTGGGTCTTGAACTCTGGGCTTGGGCACTGTCCTCACCTCTTCAGCTTAAGGCTAGTGCTCTACCACTTGAGCCACAGGGCCACTTCTGGTTTGACAGTGGTTTATTGGAGATAAGAGTCTCATAGGGGCTGGGAAGGTGGCTCAGTGGTAGAGCGCTTGCCTTGCATGCCTGAGGCCCTGGGTTCAATTCCTCAGCACCACATAAGAAAAAAGAAAAAAGCCGGAAGTGGCGCTATGGCTCAAGTGGTAGAGCACTAGCCTGGAGCTGAAGAGCTGAGGGACAGTGCCCAGGCCCAGAGTTCAGGCCCCACGACCGGACCCAAAAAAAAAAAAAGAGTCTCATAGACTTTCCTGCCCATGCTGGCTTTGAACCGAGATCCTCAGATCTCCGCCTCCTGAGTAGCTAGGATTATAGGAGTGAGCCACTGGTACCAGGTGGGAAATATTCTCTTACAAGCTTTTTAGGATTATGAAGCTTTCCATTCAGTAGACTATTGGTCTTACCTTCATGTTCTTGGTAAAACCTCTGGCAATCTTCCCTTTTCCATAATAGTTCTTTCATTCGTACAATCAGGAACTTGTTGTTCAGAATCTGCTGATGAATAGCCTGGACAAATACCACCCAAAAATAAAAATCAATTCAGATTAAGCTGGGGCACTGGTGGCTCAGGTCTGTCATCCTAGCTACTCAGGAGGCTGAAATCTGAGGATCACAGTTTCAAGCCAGCCCAGGCAGAAAAGTCCATGAGAATCATCTCCAATTAACTACTCAGAAAAAGCTGGAAGTGGCGCTGTGACTCAAAGTGATAGAGTGCTAGCCTTGAGCAAAAAAGCATAGGGGCAGTGCCCAGGCCCTGAGTTCAAGTCCCATGACCAACAACAACAATAAAAAAAAACCCAAATCTACTAATTTAGAATTTATAACAAAACACCTGTGCTGACACAAAGAAGCCATGAGGATCCCCATGAAGTTCAGAAATTGGTAGGTCATCCCATTAATAAATATTATGATCTGGGTCTTCAATGTTCTCCCAAACTCAAGCATTCAATGCTAGGTCCTCAGATACAGGCATTCTTGGGAGGCAGTGGAAACTTTAGGAGCTAGGGCCTAGTTGAAGGAATTTGGTGTTCATGGGGGTATGCCCTTCAAGGGGATAATATTAGGACCCTTAACTCTTTTTTTGTGCTGGGCTTTGGGCAAATGGAGGACAGGAAGTGCTGTTTTTGCTCCTCCATTCTCCAACTCGCTGCCTGCTCCTTTTTGTCCCAGTACTGGGGCTTGAACTCAAGGCCTGGGTGATATCCCCTAACTTTTTCCGCTCAAGGCTAGCACTCTACCACTTGAACCACAGTTGTACTTCCAGCCTTTTGCTCATCCATTGGAGGTTGGCTTTGAACTATGATGTTCTTAGTCTTTTGACTAGCTAGGGCTATAGGCATGAGTCACCAGTTCCCCATATTTGTGTGTGTGTGTGTGTGTGTGTGTGTGTGTGTGTGTGTGTGTATTGATCATGGGGCTTGAACTGTGGGCCTGGGCACTGTCCCTGAGCTTTTTCATTCAAGGCGAGCACTTGACCACTTGGAACCACAGCGCCACTTCTGGTTCTCTGGTGATTGGAGATAAGAGTCTCAAGGACGTTCCTGCCCAGGCAGATCCTCAGATCTCAGCCTCCTGAATAGCGAGGGTGACAGGCGTGAGTCAGTAGTGCCTGGCTGGGACTCAAGTTCTTACCTCCAGAATCAGTGGATGAGCAACTACATCAGGTTTGAGCAAGGCCAGCGTGAGCTGGAGAGCCCGGGGGCTTCGCAAGACGGTGCTCATGTCACTTCCTGCCATTAGAGAGCTGCATTAGGGATCCACCAATGATGGATTCACCCCTCCCTCCTCTGGAAGCCCAGGAGACTCTGCAACCCAGCCAGCACCCTCCCTCCTGACACTAACCAAACACCTGATACTTACACTTCACAGTGACATGCATTGTTTACTTATTTACTTGCTTATTAGCACTCAGAGGAGTAGGAGCGGGGACTTTCAGCCTAACCAGGGTATAATGACTGATTCCGTGTGTGTGTGTGTGTGTGTGTGTGTGTGTGTGTGTGTACTAGGCTTTGGACTCATAGCCTAAGCACTAATCCCTTTGCATTTTCCTTCAAGGGTGGCACTTCTACCACTTCTCTTTCTTGTATGCCTCTAGTTACCTCCTACTCAGATAATTTCTCAGCTGGACCCTGGTGGCTCACATCTGTCATCCTAGCCACTCAGGAGGCTGAGATGTGAGGCTCACAGTTCAAAGCCTGTCCAGGCAGGAAAAGCCACAAGACCCTTATGTCCAATGAACCACCAGAAAACCGGAAGTAGAGCCGCGGCTCAAAGTGGTAGAGCACTAGCCTTGAGCAAAAAAGAAATCAGGGACAGCACCCAGGCCCTGAGCCCATGACCACCACCACCACCAATAATAATAATAATAATCCCTCTTAGCTCCTACGCTGCCTCTAAGGGACTTGAACTCAAAGCCCGGCTTCGTGAACGCAGAGATCGTTTTCACTCATTCTAGGCTTGGTGCCATGTGCAAGGTGTGCCCAACCCACAGCTGACGCCCATTAGTATCTGAACTTGTTCTAATTATTCCAAGCCCAGAAGGCTAGGGAGTCATCGACCTGCTTGGAGGATCCAGGGCCTTTTCTTTTTTCCAGTATCAGGTTTACAAAATGTCAAGGTGTGAAATTGGTGATCCCATCAGCAAATTAGACTCTGTGTGTGTGTGTGTGTGTGTGTGTGTGTGTGTGCGTGTCTTTGCACACGCCGGCTTGAAGCCAGGACCCAGGCCTTGTCCCTGGATCTGTTTTTTTCTTTTTTTCACTCAAGGCTAGTTAGTGCTCTACTACTGGAACCATAGCTGCACTTCTATACTTTATTATTTATTATTTCATTCATTCATTCATTCATTCATTCATTCATTCATTCATCCTGTGATTCAAATGGGGAGGAAGAGTCTCCCAGACCTTCTTGCCCAGGCTGGATTCGAACCGGGATCCTCAGGTCTCAGCCACGGGCCCCCATGGCATTTTCCCCACAAGCTGCTCCACCTCCGCCCAACCCCGCGCACCTCTAGCCCTCCCCCCAGGGGCGCCATCCCCGAGCCCCACAACCACCATAGCTTCCCGGGGCCTCACCGGCCTCTTCCCTGCGGCGGCGCCGGAACGTCAGGCACTGCGCTAGGTAGCCCGGTGAGGTCCTTCCGCTCCTTCAGGCGTTGGGCCGGGCAGCCCAACTACGGGAGTCGTGGGGCGGGTTCTTGAGCGGTTGCTTAGCAGCCGTGTGAGGCCGGAAGTCGGAAGTGGTAGTGGGCCGCGCGGGGAGCGAGACCGGAAGTCAAGTGAGACTGGAGGTGCGTTAGAGCGCGTTAACCGCGCGCCCCTACTTTAATATTATTTGTGGTTTTAGTTATGTATTTTCTTCGTGTATAGTTTTTTTATTTCAATTTTTGTTTTTGGTCGGTCGTGGGGCTTGAACTCAGGGCCTGTCCCTCAGCTCTTCAGCTCAAGGCGAGCGCTCTACCACTTGAGCTACAGCGCCACTTCCGGTTTTCTGGTGGTTCATTGGATATAAGAGTCTCACGGATTTTCCTGCCCAGGCTGGCTTTGAACCGTGATCCTCAGCTCTCAGCCTCCTGAGTCGCTAGGATGACAGGCGTGAGCCACTAGTGCCCGGCTGGATTCTAACTCTTGATATGACATGTTTGTTCATTGGCTGATACTCAATCACCCGAACCACACCCTCAACTCCCCCCCTTTTATATTTCAGTGATCATTTGCTCACAATTTTATGTGAGAATGGTGAGGTCCTATGGCACAAGTCATACAGTTTGGAGATGAAAATATAACAATCTAATATACTTATAAAAAGATGAACAAGGGCACCATTTGCCAGCCAGGTTTTCTACTAAGAATCATTTTATTGAAAAAGCATATTAATGAATCTGATCATAAGTACTAGTTTCCTCCAGTGTGAGAATTCTCTTCAAAAGAGGATATTCTTGAAGAGTTAACCATTGTACTTCATTTGGCCATCTGAAGACGTAGTAAGTTCAGGAGTTTTTCTGTAAGAGAAATACCCGTTTAGAGAACTCAGTTTGGCTGAGAATGTGGCTTAGTGGTAGAGTGCGTGCCTAGTATACACGAAGCCCTGGGTTCAATTCCTCAGTACCACATAAATAGAAAATGCTGAAAGTAGCACTGTGGCTCAAGTGGTAGAGTCCTAGCCTTGAGCAAAAGAAGCTCAGGGACAGTGTCCAGGCCCTGAATTCAAGCCCCAGGAATGGCAAAAAATAAAACAAAATAAATAAAGAGAAACCAATTTGATTAAATGAAAAGCTATGAGCTAGCAAGAGGAATGCTAAACAACTATTCTCTGCATTAAGGCAGACTAGAGATATTCTAATATCATTGGAGAGGTTAAAAAAAAAAAGTTGAGAGGAGAGGAGAGCAAGAGTCTAACACTGGTGAATCATACCTGGAATCCTAGTTCTTCAGGAAGTTGAGATGGGAGGATTGAGATTTGAAGTCAACTAGGCCAAAAGATTTTTTTTTTTTAATCTCCAATTAGCTAACAAATAGCTGGAAGTAGAGCTCTGGCTCAAGTGGTAGAGGGCCAGTCTTGAATATAAAAGCTAAGGGAGATCAGGCGCCCTGAGTTTAAACCCCAGTCACCAACACAAAAAATAAAATAAAATAGAAACAAAGCACAGAGGAAGAAAACCTGATTAAAAAAAAAAAACACCTCCTAGTTTGTTAAATCTATATGATGGACACAGGACCTTTATTAACATTACTGTCTTTTAGGTATGCTGAAAAAATATTTTTGCCTGCCCTGGAACTTGAACTCAGGGCCTGGGTACTGTCCCTGAGCTTCTTTTGCTCAAGGCTAGCACTCTACCACTTGAGCCACAGTGGCTCAAGCCATTCTGTGTATGTGGTACTGAGGAATCGAACCCAGGGCTGCATGCATACTAGGCAAGCACTCTCCCACTAAGCCACATTCCCAGCCCTGTTGAACATTTTTTTTATAACAGAACATTACAAGTCTTTGACAACAATGAGGTGGTTTTTGTTGCTGTTGTTGATTGATTTGTGCCAGTCCTGGCCTGGGCTGCCTCTGAGCTTTTATTGCTCAAGGTTAGTGCTCTACCACTTGAACCACAGCTCTACTTCTGGCTTTTTGGTATTTAATTATAGATAAAAGTTTCTACAGACTTTCCTGCTTGGGCTCGCTTTACCATGATCTTTAGATCTCAGCCACCTGAGTAGCTAGGATGACAGGTGTCAGCCATTGGTGCCCAGCAACAGTGAGTCTTAAAATATATCTGGCTTACTACTAAAATAGAAATAACTTTACTTACACATGATCCGTCATGTTGTTTAGTGACGTTAAACCCTTCATATCTGAAAGAAATGGTATTTTGAGATGATTATTTTTTGCTCTTTTGGTATACCATCAAGAAATACGACTGAATTTTATTTGTGATCTTTGGCTGACTTTGAGGAGGAAACTTGCTAATTCATTAGCCGTGAAAGCGTTAACTGGGAGATTCTGGTTTTGTTGCTTTTTTTTTTTTTTTGTCAGTCGTGGAGCTTGAACTCTGGGCCTGGGCGCTGTCCCTCACCTCTTCAGCTCTACCACTTGAGCCACAGCGCCACTTCTAATTTTCTGGTGGTTTATTGGAGATAAGAGTCTCACAGACTTTCCTACCTGGGCTGGCTTTGAACCTCAATCTTCAGATCTGAGCCTTTTGAGTAGCTAGGATTACAGGCATGAGCCACTGGTGCCCTGCTTAAACTGGGAGATTTTTTTTTTTTTTGGGGGGGTCCGGTCTTGGGGCCTGAACTCTGGGCCTGGGCGCTGTCCCTCAGCTCTTCAGCTCAAGGCTAGCACTCTACCACTTCTGGCTTTTTTCTTTTTGCTTATGTGGTGCTGAGGAATCGAACCCAGGGCCCCATGCATGCAAGGCAAGCGCTCTACCACTAAGCCACCTTCCCAGCTCTGGGAGATTCTTTTTTATCAGCTTCCTCTTCTTCATCAGGCCTACGTTCCTTCCTTCCTTCCTTCCTCTTTCTTTCTTCCTTCCTTCCTCTTTCTTTTTCTCTTTCCTTTCCTCTCCTTTCCTCCCTCTCTTCCTCCCTCCCTTCCTTCCTTCCTTCCTTCCTTCCTTCCTTCCTTCCTTCCTTCCTTTCTTTCTTTCTCTCTCTCTCTCTCTCTCTCTCTCTCTCTTCTTTCTTTCTTTCTTTCTTTCTTTCTTTCTTTCTTTGTTGTGGGGCCTGATCTCTGGGCCTGGGTGCTGTCCCTGAGCTCTTCAGCTCAAGGCTAGCACTCTATCATTTGGGTTACAGTGCTACTTCTAGCTTTTTCTTATGTGGTGCTGAGGAATTGAACCCAGGGCCTCATGCATGCAAGGCAAGCACTCTACCACTTAGCCACCTTCCCAGCCCTATTTTATTTTATTTTTATTTAGCATTGGTCACTCTTAGCCTCTTGGCTTGGTATATGGGAGAAGACAAGTCAGGACTTACAGAATTTTGGAGCAGAGATGGCATTCACCGCTGTAGGTAACATGGTCACTGCCGCATATGGGTTCACTTGGCTTAAAGTAGGGGAGAATCCAGCACTTATAAATGTTGTTGGAACACTGGGCCTGAAGAAGAGATACAGAGCATGGCCTCAGTGGCCTTCCTGTGGTTTCTTTGGCCACTAGCACTGGTAGAAGCAGCAGGAGATTGAGTAAAGGCCCCAGACTAAGAATTCAGAGGACAAGCTACAGAATCCTCAAGTCTGAGTGACCGATCTCATGTGTGATGTCATGTGTTACAAGATCCTATGATTACAGCAGGGTGAGAATACGGAATACGCTCTGGGTGGCTGGGGAAGTGGCTCAGTGGTCGAGTGCTTGCTTAGCACGCATGAAGCCCTGGGTTCGATTCCTCAGCACCACATACACAGAAAAAGCTAGAAGTGGTAGAGTGCTAGCCTGGAGTGAAAGAATCTGAGGGACAGTGCCCAGGCCCAGAGTTCAAGCCCCGGGACTGGCAAAAAACAACAAAAGAAAAAGAAGATATCACCATGGACAGGGTCTCCACTGCAGAAATGAGACCACCCTGAATTTGAGTCATGACCACTTTATTTGCCCATTTTATTTTTATTATTTTGTTTTTGTCCATTGTCAGGCTTGAACTCAAGGCCTGGATGCTGTCCCTGAGCTGTTTTGCTCAAGGCTAGAGCTCTACTACGTTGAGCCACAGCTCCACTTCTGGTTTTCTGGTCGTTCAATGGAAATAAGAACTGGCTGGGCTGGCTTTGAACCATGATCCTCAGATCTCAGCCTCCTGAGTAGATAGGATGACAGACATGAGCCACTGGCACCCAGCCTAAGCTGTTTTTTGTTTTTAAATCAAGATGGTATTCTACCCCTTGAGCCATAACTCTTAATTTTTGCTAGTTAATGGGAGATGAGTGTCTCACTTGATTTTTTTTTTTTTTGCTAGTCCTGGGGCTTGAACTCAGGGCCTGAGCACTGTCCTGAGCTGCTTTGGCTCAAGGCTAGCGCTCTACCACTTGAGCACCACTTCCAGTTTTTTCTGTGTATGTGGTACTGAGGAATGGAACCCAGGGCTTCATGCATGCTAGGCAAGCACTCTTCCATTAAGCCACATTCCCAGCCCTCACTGATTTTTTTTTTTTTTCCTGCCTGGGCTGGCTTTGAAACATGATCCTCAGATCTTAGCCTCTTCAATAGCTAGGATGACAGGCGAGAGCTCCTGGTGCTCAGCTTGGTAACTCATTTTGTCTGATGACTCCTCTCCTATAAGTTCTCTCTCCTCCACCCTTCTCCACCTCCCAGAAGAAAGATGGAGGCTGCTCAGGGAAGGTGGCTCTGCCCCTTATTCCTGTCCCAAGGAACCAAGGAAGGAGAGCTCACCTTTGTCTCTTCGAAGTTTTCTCCTTTGGGGGCCACAGGAAGAGGGAAGTCTGGAAGACAAAAAGAGAGAAGAGGTGGGCACCAGTGGCTCACACCTGTCATCCTAGCTACTCAGGAGGCTGAGATCTAAGGATCACAGTTCAAAGCCAGCCCAGACAGGAAAGTCTGTGAGATTCGTATGCTCAATGAACCACCAGAAAGCCAGAAGGAGTGCTGTGGCTCAAGTGGTAGAGCACTCACCTTGAGCTGAAGAGCTGAGGGACAGCACTCAGGCCCAGAGTTCAAGCCCCATGACCAACCCC